AAAAAAAAAGTCCATATCTTGCACGTCTACCCCTCTTCTCAGTATTACTCAGCTTAGCTTTGGTGATTCTCAAAGTACAATAGAAGGAGGTAGACAACAAAGCCGGTTCCTTACCTCATCTCAATTTAGCATTTTTGTGGGCTTTTTGGAGGGTTGTATGCACTTACCAAAATGGGACCTGATTCCACATATCCAATGGAATTTCACCATTGGATATGTGACATTCAGTGAATATCACTGAGTTTGCCCACCTTGCTTCTCATCTGCGCTCCAAATTCTGGAGGTACATTTCGTTTAGTGTTCATAGCTTTTTCGTTTCAAGCGAAACACCTCCAAAGTCTTCTTTCGGTGATGAAATCGTGAACATTCAATGATTCTAAAGTTTCCAATTGCTGACAGCAGCCTGGCGCATTTCGTTTGATTTAGTAGTTTCCTTTCAAGACTTTTCCTTCAACTCATCATGCATAATCAGGATTTTTTTGTTTACACATATCACGCGGTTGATAAAACTATCAATAAAATGGAAATGTTGAGGATATGAACTAAATAATAAAGGTATTGGTCTTCTTAAGCCTAATCTACCACGTAAAAAAAATTAACGTAACTCCTGACTATCTTCGTGCAGACATCGCGGTTATTGCAAGCCGTGGTCTCGCTGATAGACCTTTCTTTCCGACCTTATCAGCTGGTGTTGAATCCGCCCATTTGGTGTACCAATGTGAAGGCGGAATGAGATAACATGTATTCCATTCAACGTCCACTTGCTATCGGAGCGACTGCGCCCAGTCCATCCTTCACACTTTCTTTCTTCCTCTTCCTTTCTTCATAACTAATAACGCAATCGTTTATGATAAATAATGGCTTTTAGCGTCATGGAATCACAAGTGCGCATGAACTTTTCCAAAGAAGTAGAGGCAGCTCTCAACAAGCAGGTGAGTGGTTTGCTGATTTTATGGGTTGTTTGGTGCAATACTCACTCGTTTATTCTCATGCTACTCATCCAAAGGTCTTAAAGAGGTCTGGGTGTTCAATTTTTTCATATAGAAATAATGCTTAATCGATACAAGGGTAGATCAAAACGTTGTCGTTTTCAATTGTTGCAGATGGATTCTTTCACCTGAATGTGAATTAGAGTTTGGAAGCTCTCAATGCCTGTAACGTTTGTCATCTACAGGTCTTTTGTAGAGAGAGCAATGAGGGGCTAAACCATTCCGTGGTGTTGTTTTGAGATCTTGCTTTGAAACGGATTGGTAAAATCGGGTGCAAATATTAAACTTTCTGAGGTGCTAGTTGCATGGATTACCTTAGCAACACGGGTGTGTTGCGATTCGTGCGATTCTGGGCGTGCGCGACAAATTGCGCGGCGAAATTCGGTGCGATTTGGACTACTGCAACGTTTATTATTTGGGCCCAGATCTGAAGTAAAGTATGTTAGTAGGATTGTCTGACCCTACTGAAGTACTCTACTTCAAGTTTGTGCCCCAATGATAGACGCCAGAGTTGTTTGAATCATCGCGAATTTCGCCGCGCGCACCCAGAATCGCACGAATCGCTAGTCCCCTTGCAACACTGTTCAACACTGTTAAGAAACTTTGGTACTCAGGGGTAGAGGTTTTTGGTACTAGATCGTTTCGCGGTTCACCTCGAATGTGCACCCCGCTTTTGCCGAGGAATCTGTAAGGATGCCAAAACTGCACAGCAGCAAAGGAAATAAAACGAGGAATTATGCAAACTAACGGGGTGCCATAGATCACTAGAATGCTATCTATGAGCAGTCGTAATGCACCCATGGGGTGATAAAGATTTATATAGAACAAGAGGAGTATCAAAGTAATGGCGATTTCTCCAGCAGTTGCTCCGACTCGGAAAGGCTAGACCATTCTATTGTAGATGAAGATCAGAATCTTAAGCGTGAAGCAGTCCCGTTTTTTTTTTTGAATGTCCCACCGCCCAAAATCGCAGTGGCATGTTGAATGCATGTATGGCCCATGCAATGACTTGTGGTTGCCAGCTGATGTACGTACAGGTCAGTAGTTCTATTTTCTCAGGTGATCCTGATACCTATTAACCTTGACAACCACACTCGCTCTTCACGAGCTATCTCTATCCTGGCTGATCTAGATATAACTTGTGACATGGTGTTTACTCGTTAAAATCCAGAAAACTTTCGAGCGAAGTACTCACCGCAAAACGATTTTTGAAAAGTTTTTCAGATAAACATCGAACTTTACGCCTCATACGTATACCTATCCATGTCTGTATATTTTGATCGTGACGATGTTGCTTTGCCACACATTTCAAAGTGAGTTCAATTAGCGTCCGTAGTCTTAACGTATGATGTGTCGAACTCAATCATGAGTCCTCTCATCTTCAGCACGTCTTCCTGGAATACTCTAATATAGTTCTGTAAAGAAGTAGAATAAGAACATACGTTTAAAAATAATATCAAATTACGGCATTGGAACACTATTGTGTTATCCTGCAGCAAATAACCGACGACGAGCCTATTTCTAGTTCCGGTCTATCCTGACTCTAATACAAGAAAACATAAAAGAAAATGGCAACATTTGTAATTGAAACTACTTACTCTATGCGTTTTGAAATTCTTGATCAAAAGAGTTTTGCGGAAGAATAGTGATTAGTTGATTATAAAGGGGTGGAAGCGTTGAAAATGATGAAAGTTGAGATTAATCAAACTAAACTGAACAGAACTTCACCCCACAACTCATAGTTCCCTTTATCACTCAAAGTTCTCGTTTTTCAGGTGGTTGCGAAAGCAGTCAGATGAGGAACGCGAACATGCTTGTAAATTCATGAAAATGCAGAACCTTCGGGGTGGTCGAGTTGTGCTACAAGATGTGAACAAACCTGAGAAGGATGAGTGGGGCAGTGCACTGGAAGCCTTTCAGGCAAGAATTTTTCTCAAATTACCGATCAATAAATCAGCGAGTCGATACACCCACAGCAACTGCTTGCAGGCTGCCTTAGCTCTAGAGAAGTTCAACAATCAGGCATTACTTGATCTCCACGTGAAGGCTAGCGAGGCCAACGATCCACAGATGACCGATTTCCTTGAGTCTGAGTTCCTTGATGAGCAGGTGAGTAACAAGGACTTCTTCCGTTGAGGAAAGTTTCTCGCCTATAATTTGTATGTGATTGATTTTAGACCAAGTCAATCAGCGAAATCGCAAAGTTCGTCACGAATCTCAAACGAGTCGGAACTGGTTTGGGTGAATATATGTTTGACAAGGAAAATTTTGAATGAACCAATCAATCGACACCGGTTTTTTGTGTGGCCACGAGTTTTATCGATTTCCTGCGTGTTTCCATGTAATATATAATAACTGTTGCATGTTTATTCCTCAGATAAACTAGTACATTTTACGTTTACAGGACGAGTTCTCAGGTAACGCCGCAGTTCACAATACTTTCAGTAAATTTAGTTCGATAGCTTAAAGATCAGAGAAAACCCTCGGAATTCACTAGTCCATACTGCGTATCGTGCCGTTTTTGATGATTTCTTAAAATGGGGAGTCAAATGGAGTGAGCTTGGGGATTCTACTAGAGTAGGATAATGAAGTAGCATTGCCAAACAGCCGACTTGGGATCGAAAACGTTGCCGGAGGGATAATTTCTTCTACTTTTTGCTGAATTGAGCTACTACCATCTATGATCTATTCACCGTTCCTCGTTGTGGTGAAAGTGTAATTTGAAGAGGGGAAGGGGGTACACATAACACTGTTAACTAGTAGTACATCAAGCAATAATTATGGTATTACGTGTTATTCCGTCCGTTCCGTTCTTGAGGAAGGAGTCTCGGGGTAGGCGACTTTTCAGCATTTCTTACGACGTATTCATCTCACTCCACTCCTGTGCTCCTTCGCTCCTGGGGCTTGTTAGATAGAAACCAATATCTTCTTGGGTATCATCGTCTGCTATACAGTGCTATGTATAACACGGGTTAACACGTAGCATCGTGTTAATTTTTTGTTGAACTGACACTGCTATGTGTGCCCTCCTATCAACCAAATTTTCACTCTTGATGCGCACTGGAAGGGAAGGATCTCAAGTCGAAGCAGCCGCTCCAAATGAGACAGGTTGCTGTGCCTTCTTCCAGGTACTTATTTGGATGTGGTTTATGGTGAGCGCTTAACATAAACAAGTAGCTAATACATGGAAGCAAAAGCTCTTACATCGGTGATTTGGAGCAGTGGTAAGCGTGACGCTTCATATGCACGAGATTATGGTTTGGGTTTTGTGAAAAATGTCGCTTTTGCATCCTGTGGAGCGTTGCCTTTAAGAGCGGGGAAACCTCCATATGCTGATTCTACCACCTTCAGCGGTCTTGTTTGTGTCTGTGATGATTCGAATTCTATCCAATATGGTCACAGCCCTTCGCTCTTCTCATTCACTCTGCATTCACACTATGAAAACTTTCATAAGTTCATTGACATCTGAGGTGATTCGATTAGTACCTAAACCGTATAATATCACTACTAACTCATTGATCACCCATCTTCATCGTTTTTTTTTTTTGATGGAATCTTTGAAGGGAACGCACACACTGCTAATTTTAGCCTCACGGGGCTCGAAGAGAGTAAAAAGGGTCGTGCAGTCAGTTCCTGCTCGAAATCGCTCTCTTTGATAAAAGAAAAGGTACTAGCGATGTTTAAAGCAGGGACCCCTCTGTGCATAGTTTTGGAGGTTCAAGCAACTGAAACGAATTGTATACAAAGGTTTCCCGTTCTTGAGAAAAGTCCCGCAGAAGCACGCTTATTCATGTCTTAGATGCTTGCTTATGTCAAGCACTTATCTGAAACCATCCTCATAACCAAGTTAAATTAGAGGTCCCGCCGCGCGATATCACGCATCTGCTTTACTTCAAACCCACGTCTCAATGTTAAACGCCAGCGTCGTCAGAGTTGTCAGGAATTTTGCACTTTGTCGCGTGCATCTCCGGACGCACTGATGTGCACCACCCTCCACCCCCACCCCCCCCTTAGTACTGATCAAAAGCCCTTAAAGGCACAGTTCACGATAAATCTGAGTAAACGAGATTGTTACGAAAAATGGAAGATAAGATGGGAAATAGTGTGAAAGGCGAAGAAACTGCGTGAATAGGTGTTTTTATAGTGAAAAAGGTTTCAAGAAATCGTTAAAAAGGGGGTGGATGAGAGTGAGACCGGAAAATGGAGATGAATGGGGCGTTTGGACGAGCTATACAGGGTGTGTCATTGCGTACATGTGGGTCCTGGTGCGAATAGCTGACTACGGTAAGCGAAAAATTCATTAACCCATAAGCATAAGTCACCAAAACCCCCTAGTATGTCGAGTCCTCGCTTCGCTACCGCCTGTCGAGTCCTCGCTTCACTGCCGCCTCATCGTGAGTCTCGCCATCAATCACTCACGCAACGTCGCACAAGATCACTATAAAAGTGGTCGGTTCGAGACAGCCGGGTCGACTTGCTCTTCTACGCCGCCGTGGATCATCGCCCTGGCCGTATGGCTATTTCGTCCTAACCCTTTCCCCTTGTTCTATTTGTAATGTTATATTATTAGGTTGATGCATAATTGTTGCGATTTTTTCGCGGCTCTTTTTCTCTTGGTAGAATTCGAATATTGAGTTCGGGTTTTTTCTAGAAATAATCTACTTGATTTCCTCTACAAGAATATACTCGGAAAACCATCCGTATATTCGCGAAATTAGGCTTTACTACTTCGAGAAAAATTGGAAGGTGGCACAGTCATTCCGCGATCTCAGTAACTTTTCAAAGATCGTACATTAGGTGATCTACTGAAAGTACACATGATTTCTTGGCGGTCAAACACGATTATTCTGATATTTTCTAGTTCCTTTGCACCCTCTATACCTTTATATGTACCCCTTACCAGCCTCTATATATTAGGTTTATGCATAATTATTGCGGATTTTTTCCAGCAAATTTTACTTAAAGAAACTATAGAAACACTAAGCAAAGACACACTCAAAAAATTACTCCGGAACTTATTTACCATCTACGTCAAGCACTACTTCCCATTGATTTGTTAGTCGGATCCCAAAAGCGAAGAAGTTTCGATCCTTACGGGCAATCCACGCCTTGACATCGGTCATCAAGTCATCCAAATCGACTTAACTTCTATTCTCTCGGCATTTTTTCGATGAACGGTTGATGAGATAATCCATAAAAGTTTCTGCTGGTGAATATGGCAGATATAGGGGCAGATCCCATTTCTTATCCCATTTCTTGGTTGGCTCTGGCTGATTGTTCGATCGCCGAAAGCTTCTGAGATCGCGGAATGACTGTCCCACCTTCCGATCTTTCTCGAAGTAGTTAAGCCTAATTCCTCGAATATGCGGATAGTTTTCTGAGTATATTCTTATAGAGGAAATCAAGTAGATTGTTTCTAGAAAAAACCCGAACTCAATATTCAAATTCTGTTCGTGAGAAAAAAAGCCGTGAAAAAATCCGCAATAATTATGCATCAACCTAATAGTGAT